GACAAAAACAGCGGACCCTGCGACTGCGCGGGACTAACGCTAAGGAGAAGAAGAAGAAGAATGCAGCGAATGGGCCTGCGAAGAACATTTTAATCATGTTCCTCACATTCGCTTTCTGCTGCGCTACACTCTGTTACTCCTATCTGCACCATGATGCCCCTGATGTGCTTGTCACTAATCCCCACGAGTACGACCCCCATGGCCTGTCCTGGCAAGTACGACCCTACCCACGTCGGGGATTTTTCCTGGCCTACATTCACCCTGATTGTAAATAGTAAATTAATAGATTTACTTCAACAGTTTGCATTTCGACAGTTTGCGAATGTGCACGCATTCGCGTGCATCACACAGTTCTGTGACGACGTAAATTGGAACGGCGTAAATTCTCAAACTTGGCCCGATAACTACTAATATTTAATAATGCCGCAGCGGATCTTCGCGCTAACCACTTCGATGCACTAGTCGCACTTCACCTCCCTCCACTGCTAGCTTCTGTGCAATGATGTCCTCTACTAAGGGTCGTCAGGGTGTTGAGTTATGATGGGGAGTGCGAATCTCCGCTCACTCCGGGACCCCTGCCGCAATAGCTTTCAAACCTCATTTTTCTCTTGACCCCTGCCGCAATAGCTTTCGAACCTCATTTTTCTCTAACTTCAGTCCACTTCTTTCCCGGTCACCGGGACTTCTAGGAACCTAGTTATTAATTTCGTAGCAAACTCCGCTGCTTTCGGGCATGTTCCGCCCAACAAAAGCGATTGACTCCTTTCCCTGCGCTAACCCTTACCAACTTTTCCCGGTCGCCGGGACCTCCACGAACCGAGTAATAAGAGTGGTAGCAAACTCCGCCCACTTCGGAGTGTGCCACGCAAAGCGTTCACACTAAACCTCTACTCCTTCCCTCACATCTATACATCTTTTTTCAGGTCTGTAAGCCATCACGGAGCAGAACTATGAGGTCTTGTAGAAGAAGTTATGAGTCGTGAGTTTTCGTAACAGGTTCCGCCCACTTAGTGCAAGCTTAGCCCATCAATAACATTCAACACCTTTCTCTCCGGCGACCCTTATCCACATTTCTCCCGATCGACTTCTGCGAACCGAGTAATAAGAGTGGTAGCAAACTCCGCCCACATTGGGGAGTGCCACGCCCAGCGTTCACATTCAACCTCTACTTTTCCTGCCACCTCTAGAAATATTTTTAGGTTCCTAAGTGATTTTGGAGCCGAATTATGAGGTCTTGTAGAAGACATTATGAGTCATGAATTTCCGAGGCAAACCCCACCCACTTTTGCACATGACCTGCCCACTGATACTTCATTTCCTTCGCTGACCTCTATAATTTTTTTTGTTGTTCAAGACTTCTTGGAACCGAGTAATAATGTTTCGTGGCAAACCCCGACCACTTTGGTGCAAACTTAGCGCACCAATAGCATTTAACACCTTTTCCTCCGGCAACCCTTATCCACATTTCTCCCGGTCGCCTAGCCGTCTTGGAACCCAGTTATGAGAATGTTGGCAAACTCCGCCCACTTCATTATGTGCCATGCCCAGCGTTCATATTCGACCTCTGCTCCTCCTCCCACATCTACACACATTTTTTCAGGTTTCTAAGTCATCACGGAGCAGAATTATGAGGTCTTGTATAATAGAAGTTATGAGTCATGAGTTTTCGTGGCAGACCCCGCCCACTTTGGTGCAAACTTAGCGCACCAATCGAAAACGATTACATTTTATGTAGGCCTTCGTAACATGTGTTGTTACGACTGCAGTGCAGACGCACCGGGCTTAACACAAAGCCAGTTTCCGCTATTTTACCGATTTTCGCATCCTGCATGTCATTTAATTAGGCAGTTTGCTTCTGATAAATTGAAAGAGGATCTCTGCTTCTATCCAGATTTTTTTTGTTCTATTAGTCGAGGTGGTTTCAGTCAATTTTCAGGTTACTATAAATGGAATGTCAATTTGAAAAAGGTGATGATTTTCGCCCTTTTTTGCTTTTGATTGAGGCTCGCCCCGTAATACCTTTCGCGATAGTTTTGTTGTGTAAGGCGCCTTAGCCGAATCAAGCGCTCGTGTCAGGTATGCTCTTTAAAGGAGTGGATTTTATGGAAATGGTAATTTGTCAACGACATCGTTTTGAGATTTGCAAAGGGTCGCGTGGAAGCAGGGGATTGTGCTGCAATGGAGATAGGGAGGCTCTTCTCAACATTCTTTTCTTTGACAATTTTAGCGGGAATTTTCTTGTAAAAGCACGGAATGAATGGAATCAACTGCCGTGGTGGTAAGGGGGCTCATTATTGATTGCAGAGGGGGGGGGGTAGTGGTGGTGAGAAAAGATGGGATGAGAGAGGTCGCATTTGTGCATTACCTCTTCACGAGAAGAGCATGGGGGCCGTCGAGATTCTAAAGAGAGAGGAGTCGCGGAGTTTTTTCGAAAGTCTTTCTAACGTCCGGTTGGCCCATATCGGCTGGATATTTTGAACCGTGAAATAAATATAAGGAGATCCCTCCCAACGTACTTTTAGGCCACTAAACAAGCACAGAAAAATGAGCTTCCGAATGAACCAATACTCAGCTTCATAAAGAGTGATGAAAATGCCAACTTTTTATTCAATTCGAATAATCAGAAGCGAAAAAGGAAACAGAAAGATGAAAACTTCAATTGCTTCTGTTCAAGCTTTCGAGATTGATATACGATTTATCCGGCTAACGTTTCGGCGCACTCGCCCTCTTCGAAGCCTGCAAGTCGAAGCATCTTTTTGAAACAATTCGTCCAAGCAACATTACAGATTACAAGAAAGAAAAACTAAGGGAGAATGAGCCATGAACGATGACGTAACCCGCCAACCTTCGTAAAAGCCGAGCGTTAGAAGGCACCCTTTGTTAAAGACCGGTTGCTTTTATATGTGCTTCGCACCTTTGAGCTCGAGTCATGTGGCTTAAAGGCAAGTATTCGGGAATAA